AAAAAAAAACAACTGGAACCCATTTGATGTGTAAGGAACTGACAGAGAACAACGGCGTGATTTCAGATATGAATAAAGGAGGAAGGTTTAGTCAAGAACAGGTGAAGCAGGTGTGAGAGTTAGGTGACAGGAAACACTGAGAAAATCTGAGGACATGAGGGTTATGTTTAGCTCACCTGTATTGTAGTGTTGCACCTAGATCAACTGATCCATTATGTCCATTGCTTGTTTAATTATTCTGGGGTTACCCTGTATGTGCTTGGCTACTGATTGGATGACACTGACACGAACCAGAGAAACGCCTGCAGCGCCCCACTGCTAACCGTTTCGTGGCAACAAGGTAGAAACAAATAGCTGAACGGCGCGCGCTGTTTTCTGATCTCAGGCAGGAACGAAATACATTTTTTCTTTGTTCTTTTTTAAGATAACATGTCAGTTCCCATACTACTCCAGTACAAAACTAAAATCCATTTAAGTGACTCCACAGTTGACCTGATAAATTGCTATTTAATTTTGATCCCACCTTAAATCACTGGAAAAAATTCAAAGACTTAAGACTGTGTTGTGATCTGTTTACATCTACGCTATATAATGAGATATATTTTTGTAGAATATATATCTCTGGGATCTCTGAATCAACTCTGCTACGGCAGCTTGTTCCAGCAGCCTGAGATTAGCACATGACTGGGAGATGATAACTGACAGGAACATGAATTAATCATTATGCCTACCAACACTTCCTCTCTCTCTCTCTGTTTCTCTTTAGGTAGCAGCTATATCTCCATTTGGAGTAGGAGCATTCAGCAAACCTTTATACATAAAGACAGCAGAGTCCCGTGGGTATTCATGCACAAGCACACAGCCTTGCACTCCGATCCAAGCGTCTCAACATCATAAAAAAATAACATGTGCATGTGTATTTCACTGAATTTGCATGTGTATTCACATCCTGCAGCCCCTGGCCTGGTGACCAATCTCACAGCGTATGCTCATAACCACACTTTCGTCGTCCTTACCTGGTTCTTGCCACACCGCATCAATGGCCTCATCACAAAATTCGCCGTCAAGGCCAGATTTGCTCGTACTGGGCAGATTGTCCGTTTGCTGGAGGTCAATGCAGTGGACATCATGACTGTAGCCCTGCCTCACTGCAATGTACTGTGTTTTTCCTTCACCCTCCTTCTAAACTGTGCTGTTATTGCCAAGTGTTTTTGTTCTATACTACTTTCCTGTCAAGATGATAAATAGCTCAAATGCACAAGGCCGACCGTCTTTTCTCTTTCCTTTTTTTCTTAAATGCACTCTCTCTTTTTATCCCGCATGATTTCATGTGTCTAGGATGCAGCCGATATCCTGTCCAGTGCGACTCTCAGTCCCTTGGAGATAACAGCATCATCGCCACCCATCACCCTCTCTGCTGTGCCCCCTGCAGCCTCTTGGAACGTACCCATATCAGTAGGAGTTGATCAGCTACGACCTTATATTGCCTATCTATTTGAGGTGTCCGCCTTCACCTCTGAAGGAGAGGGACAGGTAGCCTCCACTATGGTTCGCATGCCAGAATCAGGTGTGGAAAAAGAAGCGTGCAAACACTTTAGCACTAATTAAGCTCGTATTCATATTAGCACTGAGGTATGAAAACAAATATTCCTGCTTGTGCAGCTCCAGAAGACCCGCCACAAAACTTCTCTGTATTCAGCATGACGTCTCGATCATTCTCTGTGTCCTGGAGCCCTCCCAGCATCACGACAGGAAAGTTCTCCTACGTACTCTACCTTTATGGACCCACAGGTGGATAAATGTTGACTCAGAGCAAA